TTAGACATAGAGATAGAAACCTGAACCTTAATTAAGAGATAATTTTAACGCTAATTTAATAAATGTGTACCGCATGTTCCTAAAATTTTGTTAGACTATGTAGCAACGATCACGGAATATAATTAATTGGAATGCTACCCCCTGGGAGGCTAACGGTATGCCCTGGTGCACAGAGTCACCTTCAAAGCAAAAATGAAAAGTAATCGGCGAATTTATAAAAGTAGGTATTTTAGACAGGTAAGAGTCAAATTCGTGCACTAAATACACGGTAATAAACAAAACGAGGCCCTACGGCCTGCTGGTAGTAGCCTCGAAATAGGTAATAATAGAGGGGTTAGGCAAGTTTGCAGAAAGGGGGAGCGGTGTGAAAGGCCCAGTCAGAGGCAAAGGAGGGCGGTCCTCGTCAATGCCAAAGAGGCGCCGCACTGCATGACAAGCGGCCTCTTGCTCTGCGACTTCAGGTGTTTCCCCGCTGCCTAAGTTAAAAAGGTATAAAGTGAAGCCTTATGGATATTACCTTCACCGATTTGATTGACCCCGCTGTAGATTCCTACATGATAGCATGCTAACATAGTACTCATGCTACTTTGCCAAATTAGTCTGAAAAACAAAGGGATCAATATATGAACAACTAAAATCCAGCGGAAACTGTGTTGTGAAATGGCAAAGGCAAGTGATAATTGTAACCAAATGGAAATCACAATATATATATTGGATTACAATGCTGCCTATGCTATGATAACTTGTGAAAAGCGGAAGATGCATAAGACTATCGTCAAACGGAGGAATTAGGTGTAACAATAAGGGACTGGAGCAAATATATGCTAGTAATCATTACAAATAAGTTCTCAAAGGTACTAAGATTGGAAGGTACGCAACAGGGCCTTTTAAATAAGATTTTTTAAATGATCGATTGATACGATCACAAATGGTACATTATGGTGTAAATCGTAGATATGAAGACCAAGGTGGTATGATGTTTGGCCGCAGTCTCCGTTAGCCTTAGTTTCGGTTCGACTGTCTTCGAAACTTAGTCGTAGAGTCAGGGTAACCTTGTGAAGCGTGCCTAATCCTGAGTCCTCTGTCATAGAATTCGTGATTTACAGCATCGGACCATTAACTTGGTACATTCTCAGATGTTGCAACTTATCAAGATGACATGTGAAGGCAATTTTCTGTACAACTTTTGCAGCATTACTTCTCGACCATTAGCCTTTGTCATACCTGCCAGTGTTGAATCTGTTTCTTTCAACCTCACTTAATATCGCCCAGTTACCTATTCATACCGTTCTGTGCTCTCGTATCCTCCAAAGTCGCCTAAGAGTGTCCGCTTTAAGTGGATTTGGTGAAGCATAACCACCTCTACAACCGGTTTCAGATGCTGTTTGCAAGGTTTCGTGGTCATTGCTTTTTGCTTTCATTCAGCCACCCTTTTTTAATTCTGCTTATCAATTGGTCCCTACCATAAATGAGGATTAGGAAGGCCGTAAACATTCTCTTTCAAATAAACCTGATAAAGAAAAGATTTAAAGAGGGAGGAGTCAACGAAAATTTCGCGTACTGCCTGAGCAGATAAAAATTCCGCAAGCAGAGCAAAAGGAATACGCTTGGATGAAGGACAAAAACACTAAGAGACATAGCCAAGGAGATCATGAGGAAGAAAGGGAAGTCGAGAAAAGGCGATCGTAGTGACTCAAATCTAAAATCGGCCTAAGGTTACCGGTGTGAGTCCACCTGTGCGATAGAATATAGTAAAGTTAAGGCCAGAAATATGCAGATCATACGTCAGTAGAGGAGTCCATATCAAATTCATCAGGTAGTGGATACCGACCTAAGGTGCACAATATCAATTGGCTCCCAGTATGCGTGTGCACTTGTGTTCATTTTTCGTGTGTGCCTTAATAAGAGGTGACTGATGACATTCCTAAGGGAGAGACTAACTAACGTGTACGTGAAAAACCTATTAGAACCTTAGGATAATGAGACTGTCAAATTAAGAAATAAGGATGACTATGCAATGGTATAGCAGTAGTGACAGAATGTCCACCAGTCGGTATCAAATCCCACTGGGGGTGCAGATAAAGCCTAGATGTTATAGCCCAATGGGAGACAATAATAGGTAAAATTCAGTGACGTGAGGTCTATTCATCTCGCCATGGGCGATACCAGCTATCAATCCTTAAATCACCCTAAGATTAGGGTGATTAAGTCCTTATACAATAGATGAAAATGCAGTGTTTTCCAAAGGTATAAGTGAATAAAGCGGCGTTGTCCGAAAATTTACTGATTAACTTAATAAAGAATGGCTAACTTGATTGGATTTTGTTCTACATCATTCGGAATATTCATTCAATTCAAGTTTAAGTTATTACAAAATGTCTTCCACTTTTCAGCTAATCTGTTGGGGGCCGCTGTTTATCAATATATACTTGTTTGGTGATTAGTCTATTACTCCATAAAGAGATTATCCAAAAACAAAACCCCATTCGAAAGTCTATGGGTCCAAACTGAACCAACTGATTACATGAATATTAGAGCCAAATAAAATTATCAGAGTAAATTTTTAGGATAGTTATGGTTTATATCTAAGGGAGCCTATAGAGATACAAGACAGAAATAGCTTGAATAGGAAAAAATCTAGAAGGCCGATCATGAAGTATTCATGGCTGTTGAATAGCTTTAAGAAGAGGGGGGATGGTCAACATCCGGGCAAGATGCTCGATTAGCCTAGAAGCTGATTAGGGCGTAGCAGCTCAGTATAACTCACAGGGAATTCATATACGCCATGCGTATGAATATACGGCTATACATACGCGAACATTACAAGAAATTTTATTTAAGTAAGGGAATATCCGGGCCTTCAAGTATAAATTGCATTTAGCTTTAAGCACCTAAACTAAATATGAACTAGACATTAAATGGATCACATGATTATACCCACCTTTTTTTCAGGTCTAATATATAGGCAAGTTTTCCTGTAAATGACAATTTTTTATCCTGAAAAGGCTTGGCGATAAATATAATAGATTAATTAAATAATAATAAACCAGAGTGGGCTAGTTCCAGCTAGTGAGAATTAAATGCAAGGATATGGAAATTGCTGTAATACGGTGGTATGGCAAAGCTATAAAAAATTAATAAATAAAATCAGTAAATATATAATACTGTAATGTAAAAAAAGTGTCACCAGTATTGGAAACTACTTAGATGGTGGAGAATGACTCATCTTGGATTTAGGGCAAAAGTACCGGCTATTTTCAATCAATAGAACAAGTTACTGCATAATTGCGATAAAAAGTGTATAACGGTGATGTGACTACACTTAAAGAACTTGCCTTGGGACAGGTTCTTTGTAGCAAAGAACATTCAAGATTCCGGAAAGCAATTCGAAGGGGCAGTCAATAACTACTATTTCGC